GGAAGTGGCAAATAGGTCCCTCCGCGAAGTGGCTGGTAGCGCGCAACATTCACGTACGCGACCTGTATCCCTTCAACCGCCCAGCCTGATCCCATCTCGGACCAGTGTTCTATTTCTCCTTTTGCGTTTTCAATGAATTCTTCAAATTTTTGTTTTATCAGGTCTTCATCGTTCTTTTTGAAAACGTGCGGTTCATCGTCTTTGAAATAATGCTCCATAAATTGCGTTTGGTCGTCTCTTTCTATTGAGAACTTCACTTGTAACCCGAAACTTACTTTAACGCTATTTAACCTTAGGGTTTCTTGCTCGACCAAATCGGTGATCTTTTCTTTGTTTTCTCTTGCGAACCTCAAAAGATCTTTATTGTTTGGGTTTCTTTCGGATACACCCATTCTCCACACACGGAGCCATTCTTGGAAATTGTTTTGGGATATTTGAAACCCGTCGTATAATGCGTGAACCTCGGGTGTCAACGGCTCTGGAAGGTTTGTTCTTTCCTCCCTCGGTATTTGGCCGTAGAACCTTTGCAGAACATCGGACGAGTATCTTGCGGCAGCCATGTCGGCGCAGTATGCACTGAGCGTGCACTTCTCCAATAGGGAAATTTTCTGGCGCACTTTTGAAGGGCACACCCGCGCATATTGATTACAGACGTTGCAGCTTCGATGGACCCGCTTTTTCGCCAAATTTTACTAAAACGCAGCCACGGCTCTGGCGCACACAGCTCACACGGCTCTGGCGCGGCGCTCGCCGATCTGGCGCAGCGCTCGCGGATCTGGCGCACACACAGCTCACACGGCTCTGGCGCAGCGCTCACACACATACACACACACACATGTAAAGTAGGGGTTCTGGCCGCAAGTGAACGCACACAGTGAAAGCGTAACGCAACTCCGAATCTTTAGATGAGGAGTTGCGTTACGCTTTCACTGTGTGCGTGAGCGCTGCGCCAGAACCCCCACTTTACATGTGTGTTCAATCTTTCGTACTTAATTTTGCAGTAAATCGCGGAATAGAAGTTTCTAAGTTTATTTAGACTTAGTGGTAGTTATATGTTGAAAGGATTTTTAAATCTTCTCAACGTCTATTAATTATTCGTAAACTTTGTAGTTGTCGAAGGAAACATTGTCGGTATGTAATTGTTTTATTTTTCTCAAAGGTTTAGTAATATAACTCAGTCGCGGGTCATTAGTTAATAATCTAGTTCCACATATTGTGAATATCCCGGTAATTCAACATCTCCAGACTTAGATATAGCGGAGGTAATGAGACGAACAGCTACGAACTTAGCGTGTACGTGTACTCTGTTGTTTATTGTACCGAAAGATTTGCACTGTAATATTTATCTTTNCCCCCCCCCCCCCAGTTCAATATGAAATGGGCGTACTTTTTTGCTCATAATGAAACGGCAAGTGATTCCTTAGAAAGCGATAGGCAGTATTGCTGTAACTGAATGCTGAGAAATTGTTTTTATTTATCCCAGGTAGGAGGCTTTTTCAGTCACAAAGAGCAGCTGGAGCCGGGGTTGACTGGTGATAACCTGAATATGAATTGATCATACACCATGGATGATGTCTGAGTGACTAGCCGATAGGTTTTATATTTCTACCGACTAGTGTATGTACCGGTGACGGGTTAGAAAGAGGTTTTGGAATCGGACTTAGTGGCAAACAATATTTTACTAAAGGAGTCATTTCAGTTTTCTTTACCTTACTATTCCCATTCGAGAGGGGAAAAAATTTGCTTCTCTGCCGATGAATTAGTTTGGTTTCTAAGAAAGAAAACGACAAAACAGTTTCCCAAGAGACATAAATGTTTAAGATTTGGAAAACCCGCAAAAGTTCATAGTCATTCAAATTGTTTATTCCAAAAACAATGCATATGGTAATTTTATCGAAATTCATTCTGTAATCATTATAATTTACATGTTGCTGTTGTTGTTCACGTACAGCGCGGCTAACTTAAATCCCTTCAATCTTTCGTACTTAACTTTTGCAGCAAATCGCGGGATAAAAGTTTCTAAGTTTATTTAGGCTTGGTGGCAGTTATATGCTGAAAGGATTTTTAAATCGTCTTTAAGTCTATTAATTATTCGTAAACTTTGTAGTTGTCGAAGGAAAACAGTGTTGGTATGTAATTGTTTTATTTTTCACAAAGGTTTAGTAATATAACTCTGTCGCGGGTCATTAGTTAATAATCTAGTTCCAGACATTGTGAACATGGCGGTAATCCAAGAAGGTCGTAGGTATCAGAGGAAAATAACACAGGGTTCGTAAATGAAGGTTTTATCATGATCATAACATCTTCAGAATATGGCGGAGGTAATAAGACGAAGAGCTACGGACTCAGCGTATACGTGTACACTGTTGTTTATTGAACGCGAAAGATATGTACTGTAATATTTATCTTTATTGGTTTTTGTCTGTTGTAGTATTACAAAATAAATTGACTTTATCATCTTACAAACTTGTGTCAGTCTACTGAAAACCATGCTTCCAAGGCTCTTTTGCAGATGCCATACAAAATTTTCAATCTTGGAAGGAAGGCCAAAATTTATGTGGAACACCGCCACCTCCAGCCGCCACCACTAACTAGCATTTCTGTTGTACTTACAGCAAGAGTTTGGTCCACCAATCCTTGTGGTACAGTAGCCTCATATACGCATGCGTACTAGGTGAGTGTCCCAGTTACAAGAAACTTAATGTACTGTACGTCGTGACTGTAAGTAACCGATAGCTTCGTGTCTGTTTAAACCGAAGTTCAAACTTCGGGTTTCCCGACACGGAGGTATCAGTTACTTGTAAGTCGTGGCCGTAGGTAACTAATAACTTCGTGTTGGATAACCCGAAAAAAACTTCGGATTCCCCAACACGAGGTTATCGGTTACTTACTGTCACGACTTACAAGTAACCGATGCCTCCGTGTCGGGAACCCGAAGTTTGAACTTCGGTTTAAACCGACACGAAGTCATCAGTTACTTACAGTCACGACGTACAGTACATTAGTTTCTTGTAACTGGGACACAGTACATTAGATTTTTAGTACGCATGCGTATTAGAGGCTACTGTACCACAAGGATGGATGGACCAAACTATCGCTATAAGTATAAAAGAATTGCTAGTTAGTGGTGGTGGCGGGGCGGTGGCGGTGTTCCACATCAATTTTTGCCTTCCTTCCAGGGTTGACAATTTTTCTTTGGCCACTTCTTAAAACTGGTCATTTTCAAGGCATCTGAAAGAAAGAGATCGCAAATGAACATTACATATACAAACGTTTCCCGCCAAAAGACTTAGAAAAAAATTTATTATAAAATATGCTACCAAACGCGCATGCGTACGTGCAAAGTTGTGCCACAAGGACGAGAGCTCAAAACTCTCGCTATAAGTATAAAACAAATGCTAATTAGTGGTGGCTGGCGAGGAGGTGGCGGTGTTCCACATCCATTTTTGTTCTCTTTCCAATATTGAAAATTTTCCTCTCTGGTACTCATTTTTTTCAGGGCATCTGCAAGATTGTGTTTTGTCTTTCGCCTTTCCTCACATTGGTCATTTCAAAGGCATCTGAAATAGAAGAGAGTGATTTAAAACATACAAATATTTTCCACCAATTAAGAGACTTAGAATACTATTCCAAAAGAACATGATCGTAACAACTTAGTTAGAAGCTACTTAGATTTATAGAATACCTTCGATGACTTAAACGTAAACAATTCTCCAAATTTTAGATGCGCTTGTACTTCAGATGTTCCAAAACCGGCACAATCAAAACCGACTGTAGCGAGACACGTTTATTCACTTGAACTTCCATACTCTCATTGCGCGATTTCTCAGAAAGAATATTTTCTTTCACATGTAAATCTGCATGTAGCTGTCCCTGAACCGGCACGAATCAAAATCGATCGTAACGAAATTTGCTTTCATCTTTGTTCACGTCCAAACAGTACTGTTGACGTCTAATCAAGTTTACGCCCAAATATACAACAAAAGGTTTCAACCGGTTAAAATCTGTCTAGTTCTGTACCTTAACTTCCTTAAACATTCCTAAACTTGGGTTTGTTGAATGCCCTGATATGAACGAGATAAAATTACGCATAGCAAATATATAAACAATACGACTTACCAGAGTTTGCCCATCGCGTTCACAGGATTCTTTCGATAGCGTGCATGATGTCCTTGAAGTCCATCTTCGCGAACTTTGAAGCTGCTCGCTATTGAAGCCTAAAGGAAGCAAAAAGTAATAAAAAGAAGTCAATCTTATTCCACTGTCACTGTTAATTTTCTGTATAAATTAAAGTAAAAGACAAGAATAAACGCAAATAAGAAGCAAATTGTGCCGTTCTTATGTTCTGCGATAAACATCATGCTTTCTTTTGCACAACAACGCAATAAGCTAATTTTTTTAAATATATATTTATATTTTCCAAAGCGCAAATAATCAGCTCTTTCTTAACCCTCTTTACGAGCAATAATGGTAAATAGTGATAAAAATTGGATTCTGTTATCGCAGAAGGTTGCGATAACCGTAAATATGACAAATTTACAATCATTTGCTTGTTCCACGTTTTACATACTTCAAAGCTGAGAATAATAAATGTTACGTCTCTCGCGAGACAAAATTTTCCCCAAATAAACAAAAAAAGAAAACAATCAACCACAATAGTATTATTTTGTGTTCGCTGTTAAGGTATGTCACGCTGACCATTAGTGCGCGCCAATCGTATGGTTTTGTAGTCAAGTTTTCGGCGCAAAAATTCGTTAAGTCGAGTTGNACGTTTTTTCACTTGAACTTCCATACTCTCATTGCGCGATTTCTCAGAAAGAATATTTTCTTTCACATGTAAATCTGCATGTAGCTGTCCCTGAACCGGAACGATTCAAAATCGATCGTAGCGAAATTTGCTTTCATCTTCACGTTTGAAAAAGTACTGTTGACGTCTAATCAAGTCAACGGCCAAATATGCAACAAAAGGTTTCAACCGTTTAAAATCTGTCTATTTCTGTACCTAAAATTCTTTACACACTCGTAAACTTGGGTTTGTTGAATGCCTTGATATGAACGAGATAATATTACGTATAGCAAATATATAAACAATACGACTTACCCAAGTTTGCCCATCGCGTTCAGAAGATTCATTCGATAGCGTGCATGATGTCCTTGAAAACCATCTTCTCAAACTTTGAAGCTGCTCGCTGTTGAAGCCTAAGGGAAACAAAAAGTAATAAAAACAAGTTAATCTTATCCGACTGTTTCTGTTAACTTTCCGTATAAATTAAAATATAAGGCAAGAATAAACGCAAATAAGATGCAAATTGTGCCGTTCTTCCGTTCTGCGATAAACACATCACGCTTTTTTTCATAACAAGGCAATAAGCTATTTTTTTAAATACATATATACATATATTTTCCAATTCGCAAATAATCAGCTCCCCTTTAACCTTTTTTACGACCAATAGCGATTATTAAAATTAGATTTTATTACCTCAGAACGCTGCGATAACTGTAAACATGACAAATTTATAATTATTTGCTTGTTCAACGTTTTAATACTTNATAAATTAAAATATAAGGCAAGAATAAACGCAAATAAGATGCAAATTGTGCCGTTCTTCCGTTCTGCGATAAACACATCACGCTTTTTTTTCACAAGGCCATAAGCTAGTGATTATTAAAATTAGATTTTATTATCTCAGAACGCTGCGATAACTGTAAACATGACAAATTTCTAATTATTTGCTTGTTCAACGTTTTAATACTTCAAAGCTGAGGATCATAAATTTTACGTTTGTATCTTTAGTGAGATAAAATTTCCCCCCAAAACAAAACAAAAATAATTAAGCACGAAAGTATTACATTGTGTGTGCTGTTTAGGTACGTCACGCTGACCATTAGTGCGCGCCACTCGTATGCTTATGTAGTCAAGTTTTCAGCGCAAAATTGTATCAAGTCGAGATGGCGCTGTGGTTTGGTGCGCGCCTCTCGCTCCGGGACTAGGCAGGGTCGCGAGTTCGAGTCCCAGTCCTGGTGTACAGAAGTACTTTTTTTCCTTTTTAAGACCAGAAATTAATTGACCAAACCTTCCTCGTGTACCAATTTTTAGAACATCCATTTTAAAGTGCAAAATCCGATCTCTTACATTGAAGGCAAAAGAGCAAAGAATTTACCGTAAAATGTAATTTGCGTTCAACCATTAAAATACCGATACTTTTTACACGGATGGAAAAGGACGCCAATATGACTTCTCCTGGCCAAACGAGCTTGCTTCATGGTTCCAAAACTTTTATAGCTCGATGCATTCGATATTCTTATACTAAATACGCAGCAAAGTTCAGCCAATGTCGCAATGTTGGTCTAATGACCGGTTTCGTTATTCTCAGTAGTGAAATTTCTCTGCCGTTTTGCAACTTGAATTATGTAGCGGTAAAGTTAAATAAAAAATCTCATAAAAGCTTTCAAGGTTGGTTCACGCTTGCTACAAAATCAATAAAATGGCGGTTCCGCCGCCAAAAATCACTCGCGCGCGAATCCCGCCAGCCACACATGTTACATATGGTTCTGAGGTTGTAAAACAGAACATTGTACTCCGGTCCACACAGTAGCACTGATATGTTATTTTCAAAATTCTCAAACTAAATTGCAATTTCAACCAACACTGACCAAATCGGATCCCGATCCCTGTTACAACCAAACCAAACGCCGTTGAAGTATAATGAACGTAGTACCACATGTACGCATATTGGACCTATTCGTAGCCATTAAAGATATCTAAGGGGGCTCACCTGTATTGTAGCGAAACCAATTATTATCACATTAAACATCTTGGTTGAGTTGAACAACTTTGGTTTTTAAAGCTGTGGAGGGTAAGAACATTTGAACAGTATTTCCTTTTCATTTAGCGGGTTGGTACTAACGCTAGCTCAATTCGATCAATTTGTACCATGCTGATGCAGACAGTCTAACTTCAAAACCAGGCAAGTTTCTATCTTGAACTGTTTTGATGTGAAAATCACGCTATGTTAAGGACACAGAAACACAGGGGCCAGAGAAAAAATATACTTGGAGAACCCAATTCCTTTGCAGGTCAGTTCTCATACCCATCTCTCTGCATTTCTCTCTAACAAAATTTCTCGCCAACAAAAATATCTTTCTAACAGCACAAGATTTGTAACAAGACAATTTACAGCATCTTCGGATACTGCAAAGACGCCAACCAACCAAACAATTTTCTTACAACCATTGTGCAAGTACTTTAAAGTTATATTTTCTTTTAGATGTGCGTGCAGTTTCGATCATAAAACCTACATGTAACAACCCGTTTCTGGCATAGGGTTAGGCTTATAAGAGAGAGACCCCTGGGTTTGCCAGCCAGCACAATTTTGGCTGAGTGACCCATCTTTCAAGGAGCAGGTCTCTTGCTACCCCTATGTGACATCATATCTCGAAATCTGACTCAAACCTACATTGATAATTAGTCTGAAATCGCTCTTAATTATTTACCGAGAATTTTTTTCCCTTTAAAACAGCAAGCGGGTGACTGTTTTCGTCCCATTAGTTGATTCTGGCTACAGAATTTTGTCACAGATTTTATATCCGGTAAACTTGGGTTAGTTAAACGCGCTGATTGAGGTAACATTCAGCACAGCTGATCAAGTAATCAAATCCACAGTAAATGTTAGCAACATAACTTACTTGAGTTTGTCTCTCGTGTTAACGAACAATGTGAGAGGAACTTTTTCAACAGTGTAAATGATGCTTTGGAAAGTCACCTTCTTGAACATTTGAAACC